TGATGCCTTGCCCGAAGCATGTCTCTATCCCTATGATTGGCATCGCCTTATCTCGTTGCCGATCTTGAGGATTCCCTCAGTTTCTGAGGGCGCATCCGTAAGATTGTCATCGACTTTAGGCGTGTCGATCTCAGGGGTACGGATAAGTTCGAGGCTGGTTGCACTACTCGTGTGATACAGTGTCTGAGCCACGATCCCAATCCGCCCGCTGATCCAGTGGCCTTCCTTGGCACAAGGTCGCCCGATATGCAATAATGCTGGCAACGCACCCGAATAGGAGGATGCTGAGATTATTTTGAGAGACTCATGAGGGGGCCCCGAGAGGTTCCTGAGAGCCTCCTGTGAGACTACTGAGAGCCTCCTGAAAGGGTCCGAAGAGCCTCCTGATATTCTATTGGGAGCGTGCTGAGGGACCCCTGAGAGCCTCTTCAGGGGGTCTGATGGGAGGGTCCCGAGGAGCTCCTGAGAGTGTTCTGAGAGGCAGCTTGAAGGAAGGCGGAGTCGGATGACTTACATCGCATAGTCTAATTCTTTAGAGGATGAGCTTGATCACTTTGAGATCACATTGCATTTTGGACACATGCTGGTGTGGTTAAGGCGGGCATGCCCCTCGACAAAAGGAGTATTCTAGAATAGAAGAACAATGATCTGGTGACGATTTGACGTGCTCTTTTGACTAATTTGACGAGTTTTCACTTATATTTCTTTTGCTTTCAAAATCCGCCTGTAGGAGGACCGGCCCGACCTCAGGGTATGGCCGCCCAGGAGGTCCCCGTCATGGTAAGGGGCACGACCCGGCACCGCTGTACGGCGCCAGGGACGCAGCCGCCAGGAGGACCCTTCGAGGAGGGATCCTGTCGGAAGCCTAGAAGTGGACACCAACACCAATATCGACGGTGTGCCTCCGCCGAGGGAAGATGCCCCCGATCTCGGTGATGGTGGCCATATGTGGGTTTCCCAGGTTCGAAGAAGAGAACACGCTGCAAGCATAGACTTTTGGCGCTGCGCGCGGAGCGCCAAAAGCTTATGCTTGTGGTTTTGTGGCGGTTATGTTTGTTTCTGTCCTTCTGCAGGAGGCTGAAATATTCGATAGTCTAGGAGCTCCTCTTCGCGGTGGGAGCGCCCCCTGTGTTGGTGCTGAGTGCCCGTGCACGGGCCTCCAGTCCAGGGCCCGTCTTTGACTTTGGTTCAAGTCGGGCACGCCTCTCTACAGGAGGAATCTTCAAACAAAGTAAAAAGATGGTTTGGGGCTGCTTTGTTCCCTACCTAGGCTCCGCCTAGAAGGGTTCTTACTCGGTTTGCTTACAGGGCCGGGCAGTGGGGCACGCCCCGGGCGGTTCCCCCAGTATCCGCCCCGCGTTTCCCCCAGTTACGTCCCCTTAGCTTAGCGTTGCTTATCTCATCTTAGCTTAGCCTAGCTTAACTTAGTTTAGCCCAACTTAGCCTAGGCTGGCTTAGCTTAGCTTAGCTCAGCTTAGCTCAGCCTAACCTGGCGTAGCTTAGCTTAGCTTAGCTTAGCCCAGCTTAGCTTAACTGAGCGCAGCAGTAGCACAACATATCATATCATATCATATCATATCATATCATAGCATAACGAAGCATGC